TCTCCACTTTTTCCTCTTTGATGCTGAACCTTGCAGATGGACTACAGTTCCATGCCGTTGACTACCTAATCCTCCGCTGCTTCTCGAAGATTTAACGTAATTTTTACTAATCACCAATTGCACAGATAATGCAGTGCGAATCAAGGTTTAGGAGTTGAGTCCGGGAAGGAATATTCTATCGTAGTGCTGCATTATAAAGTAGGTTTGGACGTTATTTAAGCTCCTTTTCCCCATTTGCTTTGTCAGGCCAGAAGATGCGACTTTTCTGCGTTTACTGCTAAATCTTGGCATTTATTCGACTCGATTATTTTTCTTAATATTTCTCTGCTTCTGGCTCAGACAAAGACCTCAAACTGTATTTTAGTTATTTCTCTCAGACTTATCTTGTTCTGGAACACTTTTGTATTACCCGCATTCATTTTCAACTTCTCGTCTGCATTCCGAAATGTCGACGTCGGTATGACAGGAGGGGTGCCTTACAAGACTGCGTTAAGTGTACCCTGGGCGACTGGCAATGGTGCCTATGCGAGAAAAAGTTTTAACGAGTGTTACGGTCTGGAAAACACTAAGGCCAATCCTCGCACACATTCGTAATTTCTGACTTATTGAATAATTCCTAAACACGCATTTCGCTGACGTGAAATAAAATTGTACATCAATAGGAATTTCGAAATTTCAAATCATAAACTAGCAAATAAACTTGGAAATGCGGGTCATCGACAACGATATCTTTTGCGTGCAGATACAATTAACTCTACTAAACATACAATTCCAGCGACGAACGAGTTCATTGAGGAATAAATATTCGGTCCGAATTACTTTGCACAACTTCCCTGAAAAAAGTTCGCACCGTAATTTTGGACATCGGTTTCAAGGCGGAATGCTCGATGTCATCTTAGGTATTCCTTCCAAAGAATGTTTAGCCCTAACATTATTCTGCACTTTCTCTTCCACAACTCTAATTTTAATCGTGAATCTTTCTCAACCACAGTGCCCAAACTTGTGTAAAGACCTATTTCACTGCACAAAGGGCCAGATGAAGAGGTGCAAATCTGACGGTAAATACGCTTAGCCGGAACAATGCCTAACTCTAATCTTAAGTTTATGAAGATGCCTCAAAGCGGTGCGAAGTAGGAAAACTTAAATCGCGCTTAAGGGGTTATGAAAAGTAGTTCTCGTACAGAATTTACAGCGAATACTATATCTTTCATCCTACTAAATTCTATTTAGCCAGACCAAAATTTTCGACGCAGAAGGAATACACAGTCAAGGGTTGGATACCGCCCTTATTAAAGAGCCCTGATCTGAACTGGGGAAGGGCAGACTCGAGGCTTCAATTGGACTGAACATTAACCCAACGCCTTGCCGCTGAGCCCCATGATGGTGTCCTCCATAGTGCGGTCAGAACTGTTCAGGGTCACACTGCAGTGGTGCCACCTTGCCCTTTTCACCCTTTTTTCCCAAGCAGGCTTCTACAGGTTGGCGATGAAATACGACTGACCATAACTGTGCATTTCATTCTCCTTTGCCCTTATCCATAGTACTTCGCAGATGCCGACTTGCCCTCTCAGTGAAAGCCACTTTAGGGCTCCGGATCGGAGGCTAAGGGCAAAACAGGGACTATATAATAATGAGGTTTCAGTAAGACGTTATTTTACATCAGAGAACATTTGAGGAGCCACACTTAGTCAGAAGACTCTTTTCATCAGGGACGGAAGTTAAATGCCGAATCACTTACTTTCACGATTCAGATATGGCGCTGAAGCTCACCATCTGTTTATGCTAATACTGAGCGTAATAAACCTGCTGTTCTCTGCTAGAAGGTTCCGCTGGCAAAGCGTTGCCAATGGAAGGTAGAAGATAGTCACGACAAACAGCACATTAGAATGGAGGCTGGACGGGAACGATCGAGTGGCGATGCACTGACATGAAAAAGGGACGCTCTGACGCCTATGTAATCCTGGTAAAGATAACTCATTTGTCAAAAGCCTGTGAACATCATCTTCTGGCAGGAAGGCTCTCCTCTTTTTCCACACTATTATTTTATTGATGCTGACAGAAACGACTAACCTGGGTTTTTGGCAATTAGGTTTAGACTGGGATAGAGGCCGTAAATTGAATTGACTTCAGCGTTGGCTACAATATCAGTATGGTCTACGTAATTATTCTTGCTGCTTAGCAGGAGTCTCTACCTTTAGCTGGGAAGAGAAGTATGAAAAGCATGATAAGCGTGTACCAAAAGGGTCGCATTAGAAAATTGTCATCGCAGTCTGACTCTCACTCTACCAGCCAGCCAGTTCGGGCGAAAAACACGTACTGAGCTGACTATGAGGTCTAAATTATGCCGTCGGTCAGCAATCTTCCAAGCAATGACTTTTAGCGCACTGTCATGGCCTCAAACGCGTCGGATTGTGTATGATGAAGAATTGTGTGCTGAAAGTCGATCTCGATCACTGTACCCTAGCCCGTTCACCAGTCAGTTATCCAAGCCTGCCAATCAACGAATGTTGAAGTTGGTAGAGCTGGCTGACTGGGTTGAAAAAAAACTTGTCTGCGCGTGTCGTACCCGCCAGGATTTTACACAAAAGGGACAGATTTCTCGGATCTCACATGTAGAAGAGGAGCCACACGGAGAAGGGAATTGAAAAGCATACTTCCCACATATAGTTGAGAGGTGCCGGTGATGTGGGATTAGGACGTGTGCGTGAGTGGTGCATGTGTTGGTGGGAAATGTGTGGTGACGTGGCTACATCTGCAGTGATTTGCCACAAGTTTTAATGAATGTACATGGGACCGAATAGACCTGGATGATGGCCGAATGTGCGGGAAAATTTAGGCAATATGAGCGATGACGTTTGGCGTCTGTCGTGTGATGGATTCGCAAGTGACCGATCAGGACCATGCGTGAGGTGAATGTGCGATCGTAATGGCGGCAGGAAAGGATAGGATTCAGTTCGCTGGGAATCGAGGTGGAAATTTTGAGGTGGTGGTTGACAGGCAGTCGGGAGCCTTTTGCTCGGTGGCGGGAGTGGTAGTTGTGGTGGAGGCCGTCGTCACCGCGAAAGTTGTGACAGAGACGACGGAGATGGCGGCTATGGACGGTGGAGGGGCACGCGAATGCTGAGCATCGGTGGTGAGGGCAGTTGTCGTAGTTGACGCCATGTGGTCGGAACAGGGACAGTCGGGGAGGCAGTAGCTGGGATCCGCAAGCTGCTCATGCATTGAAACTGGAGATGTTCGACGATGCTAATCCGCACACGAAATATTCGTTGACAATGCCAGTACGTTGGGAGAAGTTGGATGCTAGCATTAGGGTCAGGGGCGCCTGAGACTTGCAGGCCTCTCCTTTGGCTTTGGCAGCGGTGATCCTGTTGGCTTCAAAGGTTACTGCTCCAGACTTCACTGCTCACCGTCAGGCCTTTGGGTCCAGCGCGAGGTCTTTCAAAGTCTTTGGGTTGATCTGTAGCCGGTTAAGGAAATTCTCCAAAGCTTCCGTGTAGCGACGAGACTGACCTCCCTCTTGGCGAGCACACGTGACAATATATCCGTAGACGATTTGGTTTGGTAGGCCCTGGTCGTCTATCCCAACGTGGTGGCCCTTCCATCATAGTTGCAGTCGCCTCATTACGTTCCAAAACTTCCTGGTCCGAAACCCTGTCCTGCCATATCAACTTCAGTACCGGACGGAGGCAACTGAGATGAGAGTGATTGAGCTTCCGCGCCTCTTTCTCGTAGACTGTCCAGGTCTCCGCGCCATACAGCAAAGTTGACAAGATAAAAGCTCTGTGCATCATCAGTTTGGTGTTCAGGTGGAGACCGTGGAGATTCCCTACGGAGTTCTGTAGTCGACGGACGGCTTGACTGGCTTTGGAGAGTCGGCGTCCCTCCTCATCCTCGATTTTGACGCAGCGTGAGAGTTTGGTGACTAGTTTAGCGAAGTTCTCCACGGTCTTCAGTTGGGAATCGTTGGGGTTGATTGCGAAATATGATAACGAACGTCCGGTGGCGGTTGGTGCACAACCACCTTTCTGTCCGTGTTATCAGTGATACCGAAGCCGGTACAGACTAAGATTTCCATGCTTCATTGAATGTCAACTTCTGTCTCGGTGTTGACTGTGCAATCTTTCGTGAAGGACAGGTCGTGGACAGCATTTGTGGAGAGACACGTAGAAATCTGCATGTTCCGGCTATCAATGCCGATTGCGGGGCGCTCATTTCGACAGACCTCCATCAACATGGCAGTGAACGTGGAGCCTAAGCGTTTGAGAGCATGAACATAATCCTGTTTCACCTCGTCTACTGCGAATGCTTCTGAGACGGTCTGCGTCATTATCATCGAGCTAATCCTCGTGTTGGCGACGTGATCATCCAATGGCGTCCAGGGCAGTGAATTTGATGGCATTCCGCGGTTGATACAAGTGAGTCTCCGCGGTGGCGTTATCATCCGACGCAGACAGTTTTCACGGTGCTGAGCTGATTGATTGCTGCCATCGAACCGGTGAGCGGACAAATTCAACAGAGCAGTATTTAACTTACTTGATGGTCGCATGTGCTGTTGTCTCCGGTGGAGTTGTTATCGGAGCATCGGGGAAAGGATGGTGGTCACCCCAACTGTCGGCGCCTCAGATAGCCTTGGTCGCCAGCACGTCCTATCGATCTCACCGTTTCCGTTACAACCGACGATTCTGTGGGTATCTGGCACTCACCTCCATGCAACGTAATCTGTCTTGACGCGGAAATTGAGGTCTCCAAGGACAGTCAACTTGTCATCCCTCGGCATAGTCACCAGGAGGGCGTGAAGGTCTTCACAGAACTTGGTCTTTGTCTCATCAGAGCTGGTCATTGACGGTGGACAGTAGACGCTGATGATGTTGGCAGGCGCAGGCTCATGAAACGTTCGTTGATACCCCGCGGCAGGCGGGCTAATCATTCAACTATATCGTTGCGGAGGGCAAGGACAACGCCGGAGTCACGTCGCACTGCCTTTGGGCGCTTACTCAACAGCAAGTTGTACCCGGCACCTAATCCCTTCAGTTTGCCTTGTTCGGAGAATTGGCCGTCGCTTAGAGCAACGATGTCCACCTCGTGGCTCATCAGTTCTCGAGCGACAAACGTCGTCCCCCGTCGCGGCCGGCTGCTGCGCAAATTGTCTAAAAGGCAACTAGTACTCTAGTTCGCCAGAATGAGTGGACTCAGACGGGTAACCCCTAGGTTGGGGCGGAGGTGGGAGGGCCGAGGGTGGGCGTTGTTCTTTGTTTGCATATCCGAGCCACGGTATAAATTCAGGTGCCCTACTTTCCCAGAACTTGTTTATGGCTCCTTTTCTAGCCTCTTCTCAGCTAGGGATTAGCAGTACTACCCGTAAACACGTTTGTTTGCACATCCCAGAGGTCTGCTGGACTCCAGTAGGGATCAGAGCTTTGTTTAGTGGAGAGCGATCTGAGTTAGTCTAGGCTGCCCACGGGACTGCGTTTTGCCCTCTCCACAGGACTTTTTCGGGTGAAACGGTGGGCAGGGGGGGGGGTGGGAACGGGAATATAATTGCCGGGTGTGGGGACACACTCGCCAGCGGATACCCTTACCTGGTTTGGCTCATCGGTCTAGGCAGTTAGCGAGATGTGGCTGCTAGGCAAAGCCCAGCTTCAGGGAGCCACAGACGAGTGTTCGGTGCAGGGTAGGGACCGTGAGGAGCAGTAATCATTCACATGGTGCGACCTGCTGCCGTTGCGCGGGGTTCCCTCCAAATGGACACCGCTACAACCCGTTTTCAAATTTGCATAGAAACTGACAGAACATTTATCTGCACCATAAGAAACAACAGCCAGGGTGAATTGTGAAAACGGAACTGTTGTAATGCTGGTTAAATTGCTGATTCGGATACTGAAAATTCAACTGTGCTGGTGACAAGTACTAAGCCCAATGTCTGCACAACATAACATTGCACTTAACTGTGAGTTACCGATTCTTTGTCAAAATGCAGTCTTAAAGTGATTTGGCTCTACAGTAGTAAACGTGGAAAATAATCTCGGATGAGTCATCCATTCTAGTACAGTGGATTTTAAACATGAACCTGATAGTAACCTCTAGGGGTCTCACTCAGACGAAATTATTCTTCCTCATTTTCCAAGCCCATCTATTAGCAATTCGTTGTTGAAGAAATCATTAGGCAGAAATCCATTGTTAAAGTCCTTTTGTAATCCCGTGCGTGACCTTCAGATAAGGCGTTTAAAAAAATGAAGCATCACAGCCTGAAGAACCTAGAAATGTAAATAACTCCCGAAACGTTTTCTTAAAATAATTGTAGTCTGATAACCGCACGAAATGTGAAACCCTTTTGGCGCACATGCGCATGCGTCACTGGTTTTAGGACTTTGGTCCAGTGCAACATAAAATTAAGGCTGATATTTTTTCAACTGAAAAGCATGTCCAGTAATTAGAAAAATTTAGGATTTTGCAGAAATGCATTTCAATTTGCGAAAAGATGGAACAGTAAAGTTTACTTTTACATACGCCTGATCAGAAGAAGACATCAGTCCCCTGTAGAACGCCAGTTTTGCGGAGTGCTTCTAAAAAACGAAGTTAATTATGCGAATGACAGGGACAGATGAAAAATAAATACAAATAATATGTTCATCCTTTAAACTTTAAGTGACAGCAGACAACTGCTGGCGTTCTTATTTGAAAGAAGGGTGGCCTTTATGATGTGGTTTCTGGCATATCAATAACCGAATCTTACTGCAGTAATTTTTCCAGTTGTATAAATATTTGACTAAATTACAGACTAAATGTGAGCTAAAGTAAAAGCTTTCTGAGGCGCATGGTAGGGTACGGTCTGATAAGCACAGATATTAATTAAAATATTGAGAAAATTGTCTCACTTGTTATTGTGAATAAAATTTTACCTCTTAGTCTTCTAATTGGGCTACAACTACGTGTGCGAGCCTTAAACTACAACCACAAGGCAAATTGTGAACGGTGTTACTTCGTCGTACTTCAGCCAGAGCGTTAAATAGGACTTTGATTAGGGTCAGGCGGATCCACCCGATAGTGAACACCGTGCTAAGGCTTTTAGCTCCGATTCCAAGCCTTCTTAACCGGGTTAAAATGCATTGCCTTCTCGACCATGACATAGAATTAGCCTGACTGACCACCACAAGTATGCTAGGGATATCTCTGTACACCTTCTCTGTCGTGCCCTCGGAAGTATTTCGAGTAACCTTCTCCTTTGGACATTCATTGGCTGATACGGTATGACGCCCTATTGCGTAATGGGCATAAAAGAGACCTTAACGCAAAACAGTCATATTGCATCCGGGACATTTTTCCGCAGTTTGCAAATCATCAGCGGGACAGAAAAATACGCAGTGTCAGAATTGCCGCATTACTTCTTCCGGCTATAAATGAGAAGGAAACGCTGAAAAATCTCTTCAGTCAATACTTATATTTCTTTCACCTTTCCTGGATTTAAAACCCGTATCAGTGAATTCTGAGGCGACGAACTCAACCATCAAACGCTTCTCAAAGTAACGCTTGGCGACCATCTCCTTCTGCGCTTGGACAGATTTTACAGCTGGATTTCCCGTTTAAATCGTTTTCGAATGTTTTTTACCTCCCGAAAGAGCTAAAATCGCAAGACACGACCTAGAGCCAATAAGAGAAGCTCTTGACGAGAACACCTTTGGAATTAGTGAAGATATTCACTCTGTGCAGCGCGCTGTCATCATACAGAAACCTTACAGTCATCACGTATGAGAAAACTGCCGGCAATACCAGAAAAACCTTCGGTAGGCACACCGGTATATCAAGCAGACATCCTATTTCGACTTTATCTGGGGTCCGCTATCCCCATAATCTATTTTCATGGTAAAAAAAACTGCGACCATTTCTTTTCCGATTGATTATTGCACGCGAATTTCTTCGAAGCTGTCGTGCAGATATGTCCACGTGCCATTGTCATTACTGAGTCAGGCGAACTTTCCGGAATTGATTTCGTTAAAGCCTACAATTTAATCTGCATAGTCCAACACTAAATATCTACATGCCTTGAATTTATGTCAAATAAATTTGAGTAGCAATCTTACCATTCCAGTAAAAAGAAGTGAACAAGTCAGAAGGGGCAGATAATATACCAGGAGGCATAACTTCTTCGGGTTACTTATGGAGTTTTGTTGTTTTGGAAGTATAAAACACGTGGAATGCGATCCAGATGACAATAAACCTCACCCTAGGCGGCCATTCAGGACTGTGAGGACAGATATACCCCGTCTGATGGTAAAACCGAAACGGCAATCCAGCAGACAAAACTTGGAAAAACATTTCTTATGTAAATATGGGTAAAGTGAAACAAAATTAATTAAGGAAACAAAAATGTTCCCACGAATATAACCTTAAAAAGTTGAAGAAGCGTGCCTCGACAGTGGTCTGAATGGACCCAATTGCCAGACAGCAAATACATTCGCTTTTGCAGACTCTTTCGTGTAGCATAGGTCTGTGAATAGTCAGGATTTAAATTTTTTTTAAGAACAAACCTTCCTTAATACGTTTTACGCATTTTTTAATTTAATGTCGTATACGGACACGATAACAGTCGTTTTTTGCTGAATACATATCGGGTAAAAACAACTGCAGTGATATATTAAAATGAGTATGTACATTTTACCATAGGCAGACGGGCGACAGCGTCGTTGAAATGGAAGCGGCTGACAGAAGGGGAAGTTTCGAAGAGAAAAGGAGGGACTGAAAAGACGGAAGAAAATTAAAAAGAATGGGTAAATGGGTAGACTCGAGGGAAGTAGTATGAAAACTATTCTGTAAATGTTTGAATACCAAGATAAATAACATGACTTCGTAGGATCACGCAGTTGAATGAATAGCGCACGAATTTACCCGCCGTAATTGAACAGTGTGATTTATTTCCTAAAGGACAAATATCCCCTTCTCCCAGGCAGTTTTCAGCTATACATCGAAAAACCGATGGATAACTTCACACGTCAGTTTATCGCAAAGAGGCATATTCAAAATTCATCCTATACTTTGGGAGTAACCATCCTGTCTCTCACAAACAGAGTACAATCTACAGCCTTCTGAATCGAGCCGGCGCTCACTGCTCTGATGAGACAAGTTGGCAGGCAGAAATGAAATACCTCTACAAACTATTCTCCCAGAATGGGGACCCACATGATTTTATACGTTAATGCATGAGGCACCAGCAATTCAAGGGAAAAGGTATTTTCAATGCTACGGCAGCTTCAGCACCAAAACGAACCACCTGGCAAACTCTCTCATACGTGAAAAATGTATCTGAACTAGCCGAAAGACAGTTGAAAAAGTACCAGATACATGTAACACACCAGCCGGCAACTACCTTACGCACACAGCTTGTACACCCTAAGGACAGGGTCGGCTACCTTGAAAGAAAAGGTGTCGTCTACAAAATCCCATATTCCAGTTGCGATGCCGTCTATTGTGACCAAACCGGAAAATTTGTTCCAACCCGTATACATGAGTATCAGTTAGCGATGAAAAGACGCGACCATATATGTCAGATGGTCATGCACACGCTGGACTTTGGACACCGATTTGCGTGGGAAAACACTCGCATTATTGGCGCCTGCCCAATTAAGAAAGGCCGCGAATTCCTGGAGGCAATGCACTCAGATGAAGCATTTATCAGCTGGCATATAGATCTAGATGCCACATACAAAATCGTTAAAGACAAATTCAAAATGCCCAATCAATCTCGAGGAAATGACAAATTGCAACCGGCACGCATTGGCTCGAACTTAAGCCAGTCATAGAATCCTTTGCTAGACTCAGCTTAGAAGCTAATTGTTTTTACACTCTCATAGTCTGAAGACGAGCTGGGGAGCCAGTCTCGAAAATTTTCGCAATAACGTTTAATGTTTCCCAAAGAATTTTATCCTTTTAATTAAAAGAAAAAGACAAGGAACTAGACTGCTCTGATCAGGCGCCAAAACCATAAAATTTACGAACGCTTCCTTACATTGAATATGCGTCTGAACTCGTCGAAAGACACCTGCGGAATGATATATTGCTAACAGAAGCGAAAATTCGAGTCCCCGGAGGCGATCTCGGGAACCATGATTGTATTGTCCTAAAGTTTTAAGAGCAGACAAGCTTTTGTCGTCGGAGGTGAGTATCGTACGGCATCGCACAGTATTCATAGGAGGGGATAGGTAAAAGTCATGCTAACGCGGTGGTAATTATGCGGGGGAGTGGCTGATCGGCTTTGGCGCTAATGGCCCTCATCCGCACAGGGGTCGTCTCTGTAGTCGCCGGGGCAGAGCGGGAGGGAGGGTGACTGCTGCCCATCTGCCTGTCCCTCGTCGGGGGGCGGTATCTGAACGTTGGTGGCCATCCCCCGCATTCGCGTTGACCTTAATATTCGTGCTTGGTTGCTAGTCTTGATTGCATCCCTCTGACTGTGTTTCTCCCCGTCTGCCGGAGTAGTAGCTGAGACAGCAGTATTGATGACTGCACCTTCGTCGGGCCCGATTTGCGGTGTGGCTACGTGTAGGTCTGTCGTAGGCTCTCCCGTGTTTGGATTCACGCCCGGCCTGATTTCGCGCTTGACTTCGTTGAGCTGCATCCTGTGGGCTTGGTAGGCTGCCGGAAGGGCGACACAACGGTTTATTGATGTTGTCTACGTGTGCCAGGCCTCGATCGTTCCCCTGGCTACGCAGTCATTGCCTCGACCCGGAATTTTGGCGTTCTGGAAGACGGAAGTGTGTCCAGAGTCCGCGCAGTGTTCCGCCACCAGAGACGATGGGTTCATTTTCCTCACTGACCGCATGTGTTCGTTAACGCGGGTTTTTAACCGTTTGCCTGTCTCTCCGACGTAATTAGCTTCACAAGAGTTACACTGGACCCGGTAGATGACATTTGTCGTCTCACCTCATGGCAGGGGGCCTTCGGTCTCATAACCAAATGTCGAATGGTTAAGTCTGGTCGATGAACGATCCCGATCCCCAAGGGTCTTAGGAGGCGGGAAACTGCCTCAGAGACGCCGTGGATGTATGGCAGTGCACGCCAGACTTTTGGCTGTTCTTTCATCCGATTTTGGCCTGGTTTAGACTGCCTGCTGCGCTCGATGAAGTTACGGGGATATCCGTTGGCCATGAAGAGGCGCTGAAGATAGCGGAATTTTGTCCTTCTGTCATCTGTCATACTGTATTTGAATTGACGTTTCGGAAACTTCCCCATTTCCATCATCAGTGTAATGTGTTTGTTGCTCCTGCCGGTCTTGAGGAAGGCGGGAGCTCTTACGAGGAGGAAAGCTTTGGCCGCAAAAGCCCGTGATGTCACGATGGCGCGCTTCTGTGGCCTATCGAAGGTCCACAAGCAGGGGATGCCGCTACGTCCCATCGTCTCCTTACGTGGTACCCCAACTTTTGGGATGTTACAATGGCTGTACCAGCAACTTTATTTCCTTACCAAGGGTTCGGAGTGGACAGTGAAGTCAGCTGAAGAGTTTTTACACGCATCAAACATCTCAAAGTAGAGGCAGATGAGGTGATGGTGTTACGTGACGTGATCTCGTTATTCACCTCCATCCCACCTATGCTGGCTATCGAAAATACTGACGGCTTTCTCCGAAAAAAGCATGATGAGACCGACCAACAACTCAAACGAGCACACATCATCGAGCTCTTAGAACTGTGCCTTAAGACCGTCTTTACATTCAACGGCCAAGAAGGGAACACCGATGGGCTCCCCTCTGTCTGGACTAATTGCCGAAGCAATCTTTTAGAGGCTCGAGCAGCTGGTCTTCAACTCGTATCCTCCAAAGTTCTGGGCCAGATACGTCCACGACACGTTAGTTGTAATCAACAGGAGTGAGGTGCAGGCTTTTAAGTCATTGTTGAACGCAATATTCCCCGACATCCAGTTTATTGTGGACGAGGAAGTTAACAATCAATTGCACTTTCTGGACGCACAATTTGCGAAATTGAGAGACGAGAAGATAAGGACAACGGTTTACTGTAAGGCAACTAATACTAGACGCATCCTCCACTTCCGAAGCAACCACCCTGTTGGTCATAAACATAGATTTGTCAGAACTCTCTCTCTCAACGCCTTCAAACACACTGTAGCGACGACAGTGGGAGGAAGGAGGAGGCGAATTATTTACGGGCCCTTTTTAAAACCAGCGGTTACCCGAAGTCCTTCATACTCAACGGCCTCAAAAATCCTCATTTTGAGCGGTCGAGTGGTGATAAACCGAAATTCTGACTCGCAATAGCCATTGTGAAGAACGTATCAGAGGCGACGGGAAGAATCCTGCAGCCTTTTTTGGGATAGGTGCGGCTCATATATCGGAATTTACCATCAGGCAGCAAATCATGAAGCCCAAAGACCTGCTAGCAACAACAGAACAGTCAGCGGTGGCCTACGGCATACCATGCCTTAATTGTAATGCGAGGTATGTTGGTGAAACGGGCAAACGCCTCGGTACAAGATTGCACGAACATGAACTTGCAATCAACCGCAAGGACAAGCTGTCTTTAGTCTTTGTCCACATACGAGAGTTGAACCACAATTTCTTCTTTGAGAAAGCGAGGGTAATTGGTCGAGCCATTGAGAAGATGACCAGACTGGTGTTCATAGTTGGTCCTCGACTGGCACAATCAACGGAGCTATAGATCTACATTCCGCCTACCAGGCGCTCCTTACAAGGCTCGGGCCAGTCCGGACAGGACCAGTAAGGCCAGCGAGCACGCGGGACCGAGAGTCACCGCTCACGGGAAAGAGCGGAGTTGGGGTCCAGAGGTCATGGGACCAAAGCCGAACACTGTCTCATCAATGCGCCCGCGAAGCTGAATGCTACTCACATGAACAGTAAGGTCCGATCAGTTCACCGGCTGACGTGGGAGCGGCCAAGCGGCACGTTGATTTGACCACAATTACGCCGACCCCAAAGGGAACAAAGGTCACACAAGCCTGTCAGGGTCAGCCTTAGGAAGGTGTAAGCCAGTCAGCGGCAAACAGGCAGGTCAAAGTTCGTGCGTCGAGCATGTCTATGCTTAAAGGCAAGCAGCAAGACTGAACAACTCAAAATTGACAGGAGCAACAAGCACACTAATCCGATGATGGAAATTAGGAAGTTACCGAAACGTCGGTCCAAATACAATATGGTCCATAAATTCGTCCTCTCTTCTTCTTCGTCCTCTTTGGAGGATAATAAACTTTATATATATATACATATATATATGATGGTAAGGGCGCTCACCGAGCTTTTTTTAATTACCAGAGGAAACATCATGCGGGAGAGACCGTTATTGTTACTTAAACTTCAGCCGGTAGCGTGCCAACTATTTCTTGTGTCGACACCAAATTAGACAATTTCGGACGTTCGTTGAAAGAACAAGCATTTGGCGAACGAAATATGCACAATAACGATATGGCTATTGGAATAACAAATTCCACCTTATTTGTAACATTTCACACCCTAAAGCAGAGCATGGCTTTCTGGAAGTGAGCACGACTGAGATGGTTTGCAAAGAAGTGAAATCGAGAACTCTACTGGATGTTCTGTATGTAGACTGATGGAAAATGTTCGCTTAATTTGTCCTATGCCTCCTTTGTAGGGAAGTCATTTATATTTTATTTGAAAATTTGTGGATTACTGTGATATTAAACGTGAAACAGTGACAGATATGATCAGCCCAAGTTCAATTTTTGAAATAAAATGTCTTCTACGAGAAATGGGCTGGTGGAAACTCGATAAAAAAGAAGAATATCATAATTAGTGATGCCGCCAAATAATCCATTATCTAGGTACGGTAAGTGGTGATACAAAAGGTATTTAAAAACGGACATCTTCTGCGTTGGAGGTTGCCGTGCACTACTACCGTGGTGTATTTCGTTGATAACAAATGGCACAGTTTACGTAGGAGGCACCTTAGGTTTTGACTAAGTCTTTGCTTAATGCAGCCTTTCCGGTCTCCTGTTTGGTTTCTGTCGAGTAAAGGTCTGTTTGACGGTCGATCAGCAACTGATGTTTGTGGCCTTTTGGGATACAAATTTTGACAAAACTAGTTCAGTACACGCAATTATCAACCTACGTAAGTAATAACGTAGGATTACACACCTTTTGTCAATAAAATGATCTACAGTGACACAATAACCAGGGAGAGCCGTTTGCATTTCTCCTGTCGGTAGAACTATCTGCTTGGTGGCTAATTGTTTTTGTGCCACACCCTGCGAATATTCTAGACCAGAGCTACCCCTCAATTAACTCAGATCGGTGCGCTCCAGTACCGTGTCCACCTCACTACTTTTTTCCTGCCAGTCAGCGCTGATTGTTTTCTTTTGACGCCAATGACCTAGCGTGGAGGCAGCACTAGGTCAGCATCAGAAAAATCCACTGTAATTGAGGTTCGGGGACCGAAAACGCACAAGGTGAACTGAGCATGCATGCCGGTGTGGGTGCGTGGGCTGACGCCTGTCATTCGATGTGCAATAATTCAACTAACTACGCACGCGTTTGAGATGATAAGAACTGGGAGTCTCGGACGCCTGTGGACTAAGCTGTGCAAAAAGGCAATTTTAGGTGGTCTGGTCGACGAAATTTAGGCTGGAAAAGCGGAATAGAGCAAGCAACTTGCGCGATTCAGCTAGAAGTTTAGCCCACTTATACGTACTCATACGGACGAGCGAAAAACTTATCTAATCACCATTTTCCTTAGCATCTTGTCATAGTGCTAAAAAAATACGGAGAAGGAGAGGATCTTGCTACTGAGAAGGCGCATGTTCTTGAGCACCACTAAGCAAAATACTACCTCCAGACGGCATATGCCTTGGCGCCATCCAATTGTCACACTGCTTTTGAAGATATATGGTATTTTGGCTTAGACAGCATGTACGTCAGTTCAAGCCCCTGCTTTCGTTGTCCAACATCTCACGTGTCCTCTCAGCCACGTGAAAGCAGCTGCCTAGATGTCAGTCGACAGGCGATTTGAAAATACGCAGAGAAGAGCTAACAGGTTGTGCATT